TAATTAAATAATTTTCAAAATTTTAGATAAATATAAATTGAAAGAAGAAATTCAAACTAAAAAGTTTAAAAATGGTTCATTATTATTGTGATTTGTAAAATTTGTATGGAAAATATTTTACTGTGCTAATAAACTGAGTAACTTCACCCTTGCATTTTTAGTTAAAAAAAATAGTTTTATACTAAAACTTGTTCAATAGGCACGATTAACTTTTTGTTAAAAGCTGCGAAAGCCTACTAATAGTAAAACTCCACATATTCTCCAAGTGAAGAAATTATTATATTGACTTCACTTGTATCTCTTATCCTATTAGGTACTCTTGAATAACTCATCTCAAAAATTAATGTCAATCCAGCAGAACCAATAGCATTTCTAGTTTCGAGAACACAAAACTTCTCAAAAACGACTTTCAAAGTATAATTACTGTTTAGCAAGATAGCGTTATTAGTTTTAATAATTTTAAGAACTAATTTAAAAAATAATTACCTTTGAAAAATTATTAAACAATAGCTAAGAAATAATTCAATAATAAAAATACAAATAGCTGTTTCATTTATTAGAAAACAAGAACTGAACAATACTCAAATGGGTTCATGTGTTAGTTAATTATTGCATATAGGTAGATACTTTTATAAATAAAAAAATAGTAGATACTCCTACTTAAGTAGCACACTTTAATTACCAGGTTCAACTGGAACTAATTTTCCACTTGCCGAAAAGGGTGGAATAAGTTTAACGCTTCCGTCTTTTCCAACGATTACTAATCCTGCTTGACTACCAGCTTGAATTTGAACCCCATTTGGACCAACTATCCTATCAAAGGTATTGGGTCCCGAAATGACAAGGTCCCCTATTTCAACTGGTACCGCATGACCATACATCAAAACGGCAAACACAATGAAGACAATCTGGAATTTAAAAAAACTCATAAATTAATGGTGCAGGGCATTTATTGATTGAGACCTTCTGTATATCAATTTCATGGTTAGGTTTTTCGCCACCAAACTTTTCCCTCAATTTTAAACAATTGGGATTTAAGTAAAAATAATTCAAGCATGCTGAAGTCGAATATCACATTGATTTTTGATATAATTTCAATATTTCTTACTAAAAAAATGTTACTCTTATAGATAACTTTTGTATTTCCATTGGTGTTGGGAAAATTCTTTCGTATTCTTATCTATAATTAAGCGTGTTCTCAATCGAGTTGCCCTTAACAAAAAGTTAAACGGTTAATTTAGAAATTCGAAAAGGCTATAAAACCGTTCAAAATGTGGTGTTAGAGGCCAGTGATGAGGATACCGTGGAGTAGGAGAACAGGGATCGTTATGGAAGTCAATAAGAAATAGGTGAGATAGGTTGGTAGGACACCTTTTAAGGAATGAAGGGATAGCTAGAGAAATATTAGAAGCAGAAACAGGAGTTAAGGAGAATAGAGGTAGACCTAGATTAGATTACTATTTACAAATAGTTAAGGATGTGGGATGTTCTAGTTTTAGGTAAAAGCGAAGATTAGCTCAGAATAGGAAAGAGTAGAGGCATGTGTCCAATCAGTCTTAGAACTTATGACCCTATGATGATGATGATAATAATGATGAATTTGTTGATACTGTCCTGATTGTACAGACTGGCTACGACCCTGTCTGTACACATATAATACTTACTTTTACATTTGATTTTATTTAGAAAGAGCACATTAATTACAAAGAGACACAACTCAGAATATTTACGTAGAGAATCTAGTGTTCAAAACAACCTAAACCCCAAATAAAATATATTTTGGTAATTTTTAGAGTTTTCACATTTCAGCAATAAAAGATTAAGTTTCTCTTCTAATTTCCGCTCTAGAAATGTTTTGTGTTTTCTAAATATATCTTAAATATTTTTTAATTCTTTATGTTTCTTGTTGTAAAAGCATACGACAAGAAGCTTGAAGAAATTCTTATTGTTTTAATAAAATAATATTATCTAAGTACAAGAAACAAATAAAACCTCGCCAAACCAAATGATCTTAGAAATCACATTTACTATTAAAAAAATTAAAAACAATAATATCAATGCAAAATTTGCTGTTTAAGTTAACTCCTCCCTATCATATTTGAATACATAACAAGAATGTAAGGGTATATTATACATAAAAGAAAATCTCTGATGAATAACTTATTTGAGAATAATTAGTTGAGTTTGTTAATCAATAAAAACTTGTACGTAAAATCAATGACAATCAGATTTTAACATTACAAAATAAAAGATACATTGTTACTATAAACCCAAAGTTAACAGAATATCTACTTACTGCGATTTTCATTTTTCACAGAACGCAATTGGAAATGATTTAACAACAGACGATTCTTTTCAACGTTGTACAAGTACGTACGTTTATTTCCAAACAATTTTGATGTTCTTAAATAGTTCGACGAAATACGTGATGGACAACACAACTAATTGTTTTTCACAAAAGAAACAAATACGCTAATGAGATCTAGACCTTAATTAAATTTTGACGATAAACCTAAAATTTTAACAAAAACATTATGTTATCGCAACATATCTAAAGTTCCAGTAGATATACGTAAAAATGGTAAACGACATTTATTACGAAAATATAATTTGGCATGTTGGCCACTTTATGGTTTTTTAAAGTTTTTGAAGGACTTAATAACTAACAATAAGAAATAAACACTAAATAACAAGACAACGACACAACAATATATTTACAAACTTAACAAAGAAAGATGATCAGCGATAAGACTGATGAAATGTAGTAAACAGTACCAGAAGATAGAAAGACGAGATAAGAACTACTAAGAAATAAAATGTAGTCCCAAATGACCGAAGAAAACTCATCTTAAAATTGTAATTAGAAAAGGATGCTAACTACGGACGGCATGCGGTTAGTATGCGAAGCTGAAATGTTAATAAGGATTACAGTAACAAAGTACAAGTAATTAAAGTTATTGATATTGATAGAATTGACTACAAAAGAATTTGAAGAGACTGTTCAACATTAATTTAAAATCATTTTTCTATTTTTTATCCGCTACACAAAGAAATATAATACAAAATAATATTGTAATTGTAATAATAATAATACCCTACGCGGGTATATATTAATTTTTTTATTTTTAATTCTAATCCGTCACAATAATATTTGTATTTAGGCAGTTGATGATTAGAGAGATTTAATAAATTCGAGAGAACAAAATCTGCACAAAGAAATTCTAAACAATTAAAAACGAAAAAGCTATAACTCTTGAATGAAATGAAAACAAAAACAAGAATAACTTCTACGTCGAACAAAAAAAAATATAATTTTCTTAACAGTTTCGCTTTGTGTACAGATAAAAGGTTTTATTTAGTTTGAAAATTCTGTTGTTCCTTTAAATAAAAACAATTCTCTCTATCTGAAAGAAATACCTATTCTGTTGTGTTCTGTTATAATCAGGTTACATTGTAATTAAAAATTATAAGTAGGTAATGTTCCAATTAAAAGGTACAATAAATAACCAAAAACTTATTCCTATTTCCAATTAGTAATTTAATAGTGCGTGAGGAAGTATTTGACGTAAAAGGTAGCAAAAGCACTTTCTAATTAACACATGCATGTATCCAGTAGCGAATTGAACAACGGTAATGATATTATCGTTTTACTTTAATTGGTGTTATTGTTTAGCTGATTAAATCGCATATCAAAATCTAAACTGTTTCGTTATATATATTGTATTAGTAGAAACGAATTCAGAACAAAATATTGTTTTCTACTTTTTATCCGCCGGTGCTGATCAGACAGCTATTTAATTTGTCTAGGTTAAATAAGAAACTTGAACTTGTATCAATCTCATTATGCGATCAAATAAAATAATGAGGTCGGAAACTAATTTGAATACGACTAGTCGTCTTAGATAAGGCAACAATAAAATCAAAAGTCGGGCATTTTTTTTAGTATTTTGAAATACATACCTATGTATGTTTATCTGCTTATGTAAGTGTTATTCCTTCAACCATGTGTAAATTTGTTTTTGTAAGTGAACTCTGATATCTTTGTTTTATTACTTAGAGAAAAACATTGGGAAAATCGTCCTGATCAATATTCCAAAACTCTCGAATTTTTGAATTAAAACCGTTCAAACTTAAAAATAATAATGCTTCATTATTATCATTTTGTAACTTTATGTTAGTTAGTAAAGATTTTGACTTTCTAATTTTTTATAGTAATCGTTAGAGTTTTAATCTGGTGTTTATAATTTCCCATTAAAAATGTAAAAAATTTAAATAAAAAAATGTAAAAACTCTACTCTTTCATAATTAATTATGATATTATTACAACTTTTATGTGTCAATTAAGACTTTTTATCAAAATGATTTAAAGAACATTTTGTTAAAGTTTCATTACAATCGTATGAAGCTTTCCATTTATCATGAACATCTACTGTGTGCAATATTCCTAGTATTAACAAGTAAATGTGATTAGTTTTAATAAGTGTGAATAATAACAAGTAATGTAACATCGAAATATAATGTATTCAATATCTGAAGTAAATTTATTCATCTATTAATTCTTTACTTTTGTTAAATCTCTTTGTAGGTTATTTTTGGAATCTGGATGACCTTAGTAGGTGTTCAATGTGTAACAACTGCGTACAGACCGATTGTTGTTTTGGAACAATTCAAAGTCACTGACCCTCCAGGATTATCTCCTTCGATTCTAGTAACAAACGAGAAATTCCCTCCATTACTCCTGAAAAGTTGCCAGAGGTGTCTTGTGGTTGATGGAATTATCGCTGATGACTTAAACTTATAAGTACTAATTAATTATTGTTAATCATAATTACAAAAGTAATTTAACTGTCTGTGTATTGTATCGAACTTTTCCCAAAAATAGAACAATTTTAAAAAACACCTGTTAGTTTACAATATCCTCAAAGGTTATGAAAAAAATAAACCAAAAGCGAATGCAATATCTACTAATGTATGAGAAATAAAATACAGAATATTTTTTTGTATGTAATTACAATAAATATGATAAATAAATAAAAAGGTAAACGAAGATGAATTCTTAAAAATCATTCCATTTTTATGATACTATTTTATGAATCTAACCCAAAATAGGAACAAAAAATGCTTTATCCAAAAGACGGAAAGTCGGTTGCCAGTTGAAATAAATAAAATTATTTTTTCCTTTGTCTTGACTTACATTGGTTCCGAGATCATTTAGGTAAATGCTGGGACAGTAATAATCGTCCGTCTCTTTCCAATCAATCACCACCTACCCATTTTTACAATTCCTAAAAGAATGCCAAAAAGGGCCTTTCGCCTTACCCTCCGGCTTTGCACCACAAAGTAGGGCGACAGGGCTTCTCATCTACTGGAAATGAAACAATCAAAAGTCTTTTTTACGTTCTTAACAATTCAGGCGCATTTGTGCATTATTAGTTTTATAATGATTGATTTGGATTTAAACTAACTCCGTTATAGTACATAATTATAAAATAAATGTTTATGAATGTTAATTACAAAAACGTAAGAACTAATTTAATCAAAATTGTCTGCAGAGATTATTGGCAAGTGTGTAAATGAATTTTTTGGACTTTCTTCTTTCATACGCAGTTTTCTTCATGTACGTACAAAAATGATCGCGTTGAATTGGAATAGTTAAATAAGTGCCCTCTGTTTCCATTGATTACATACTAAAATCGCATATTTTACCAACAAATGTAGCAATTAACATCAATGTATGTATGTAGGAAACGCTCCCTAAATGTCCAAAATCTTATCTTCATTTTCATTTAAAATGGCATATTTTAAAGTATATAATCGGTGAATACAGTTTACCAGCTGCAATTTGCAGTCGTCATCTTTGAACTATTTGAGATTATCGAAATGTGAATAGCCTATTCAAAGGATTAGATTAATAACATAAATAAAGGCAAACGCAAGCTGAGAATTTAAAAGTCATCTGTTAATTATAAACTAATTAAAAAATACTTCCCTTATCTTAACTTACATATTTAAAAAGACAATGTCAGTTTCCCATGCTGTTGAATTCCTTTGAGATGATTCCGAACACGTATAAATGATAAATCACGAAACAATCAAACATCCTAAATAAATAAATAGAAGCGCATAAGTGAGATCAGTATAGGTGTGTGGTTCATCATGAAGACCGTAAGTATCTACCTTACTTTTATTTATATTTTTCTCTGATTTATATTTAATTGTAAGTCATTTTAGTTAATTTAAATTTTTTATTTACACAATAACTATCAAATGCAGACTTCTTGTATTATATTATTAACCAGCAAAAAGGGCAAAAAATTTGGGATAATCTAAATTAAATGAAAACAAAATAACACATAACATGTTTTAGAAGTAAACTAACAGTAACGTTAATGAAATTTTTATAGATACAAAGGGATAAACAATCCAAGCATTTATAGTGTATTTGATAGTTAATTGCCCTTAAGTCTTCTCTGTAATCACTTAGTCTTTTCTCATTAGGTCGTCTTTTTGGTGTTAGTCCTGTCTTTAACAATAGCATCAGCTTCACCTTCAATAGCAAAAGATGAAACTGTGTCCAAGGAAGGATCTTCAACGACAGTGATTGAAGGTCCTGATGGGAGCAGTATAGTTTCTCAAGTAAAACCGGGTTTTATTACAAACAATGTAATAAAAGGGCCATCGGCGGTTGCAACCGTCATTGGACCAGATGCTCCAAAGGAAACCGAACAAAATCAACCCGAAGATTCCCCTAAAAGATTGGAATCTTTCCAAGAGAAGAGGCTAAAACCAAATCGTCATATACTTCGTCCAAAACCAATCAATTTGGTTGAAAGAGTCCCAGAAATTGTTCCATCTGTTGTTCCAGAAATACTCCCGGAAAAGCCATTGTCATTGAACGGGTTACTCGCTTTACTTCACGAGAAAAATAAACCCTCACATAAGCCAAGCCTACCGCCATGCAAACTACCACCTGTTCAGAAACCTCCCAGTAACTGTCATCCCCTGGTTCGACCGCCTGTTATCCAACCACAGCTTCCTATACTATTTCCTCCTCAACATGCCTCATGTCCACACCATGTTCCAGGTCAATATCCTCCTAATAATCAGCTTTTGTATCCGCAAACAGCTCAATCTTCTCAACTTCTAAATGGATTAGTCGGAAGTATCTTACAATTATTGTTGCTTTCTTCACTACAACCCAATCTCCATCAGCATCCACACGCCATGTACATGCCTCCAAGTTACGTTCCATTGCAATGGCTTAGGCCAACTCCTCACGATGAGTACATCGATAAGTCAGAAGAAAAATTCAAGGGAACAATGGGAAATGAAAATAAATTTGCTGTAGCTGAAAATCAAATTATTCTGCAAGATTCCCAACCCGTTTCAGCAGTCTACACACCACACAATCTTCTAATTCCTTCAAATGCTGTTTCGTATTACAACTATCCATGGACTAGAAGCGAACAAAGAACTGAAGAATCAGCAGCAACCGCAGCAAACCCCCGAGCAGAATAAAATAATCGAGTAACACTAAACTTAGTACAACATATGGATAATGCATATAATATTAAATATAGAAATGTCATAACAAGATCAGCAGTTAAAGCTACTCTGGTTACATAGTAAATTTTATTTTTTTATACTTTATATATATGAGTTAGATAAATATAAAATTTTTTTAATACATTCGTGTCTATAATGTCTATGGATTTGTGTTGCCCTCGTTGTTTCTTCGTATTCTGATTGCTCTTTACAATTTTTCCCTGTAAACTTATATAATTCTGTGTCCCTTTTTACAACTTTGTTTTTTGTATTCAAACAATTGCGACGAGGTACAAATGAGTTGTTCCACTTCAAATCGTATACTACTTTTGAATTTTTTTTTTTTTATTGTTGAATAGATACCCACTTAACGTAACTGAAATAAACTTTTTAAAAATTTAACTTGCTTCACTTCAATGTCTATAACTTCTTTAAAAATTAAGTTATTACCTCGATTTTTTTTCTGTACTTCGATTGTGGGTACATCATTTCCCATCATCTTCATCATAAGGTCGTCAATCCTATGACTGGTTGGACAGGCATCTCCACTCTTTCCTATCCTGAGCTAATCATCCCAATTTCCGAAAACTACATCCCACATCCTTAACCATTTGCGAACAGTAATCTAATAGAGGTCTACCTCAACTCCTTCTAACTACTGTTTCTGCTTCTAATATGTCTCTGACTAGACCTTCATGCCTGAGAAGGTGTCCTACCAACCTATCTCGCCTATTTCTTATTGACTTCCATAGAGTCTTCTGTTCATTTCCTACATGTAAAGATTGTACATCCTTATAAAATCTTTAATACAATCGTTCTTCTTGGAACATCGAGTATTTTATGAACTGTTTCAATCTGAATTTCCACAAGGAAAACTAGTACCTAGTTTTGTAATCCCAGGAAGATCAATTTACAAAACTTTTGAACAATAAAAATGCGAAGATACACAGTTACAAACACTTAAAATCTTACATCTTCTTTTTTAGGAACATACGGTATGTTCCTTCCGATTAGTAGCCTCCTTCTAATAGACATCGGACGAGGCTACAATTTTTACGATCGCGCTGGATTCAAAAGTTGTCAAACGAAAAACTAAGCAAAAATCAATCGATGCGTGCACTGCAAAAAGCAGGATTGTGAACCGATTTTAATAGATGATCCATATTTTAAGGGTCATCCCATTTAAACTTGAAGAAAATATTACACCTCTAAGGGTGAAAATTAGGGGAAGATTTCTATTTTTGGCAAAACAAAGTATTGAAGTCGTAATATGTAATAAAAGTGTGTTTAAATTATTACAAAAATTTTTTTACAAAATTTTCAGAAAGTTAGGTGCATGCATTTAAAGTAAAGCTAAATGTTTAAAAATTGATAAGTATCTCATGAAATATTTGAAATTTAGGTAAGAGTTACGTTCCGTTAAATGGGTTAATTTATAAAGGGAATTTGATAGGTCTTAGAAACGTTATGCTGTTATGTAGTCACCTTTACAAAATGGGTGTGCTGGTCTTTAAAAAACTGGAATAATTTAATCGTTTGAGCATAACGTTACCCAATAGACTTCAGGCTGTCACCGTACGTCTAGAAAAACTGTTCCAGTCAATTTCCGTTAGTTTAGTACCCGATGGCCTTGCTCGGTATCGCCAACATAATTGACGTAATTAATAATAAATTCCTTATTTGCTATTACGAACAAACGTAAGCTCACGGGATTGTACAGGGTCAATAATATCTGTACAAAAAGTCCAAGTTACATTAACAGAATTTTTGAGAAAGTTTTTGGAGTAATAGTGCTTTGGACTTGTCTAGGACCGATTCCCTCCCTTCGTCTTCAGTAGTGATGAAAAAAATTACCAACAAAGCCCAGATTAAAACCAAGACTGAATATGCAAAACCAAGACCACCTACGCAAGACTAAACGAAAAATTATTACTTCCAGTGGATTTATGAGTTGAACTATTTGAACTAACTTTAATGTATTCTTTTCTTAGAACAAAACTTACTTTACTAGATTTTAACACTAAATATAAAAGAAAACCAACTTTACCGCTGTTTGAAACAAGAATTTACAATAATTTCCTTGGAGTAAGTGTTGTTTGTCTGGATAACACATGGTTGAAATATGGAGACAAACAAATTAAATATATATATTTCGATATATTTACATCTTTCAAGTACCCTGTATTATTTTTTCTCTAGAAGGTCAATTTATGAATCTAAGAAGTGTAAGTTCTCGAATTTTCATAACTCTCACAACTGTCGGCGCTATGTTATTCATGATATGCTCGCACAGAAAATTTCAGCATTAATTTAAGACAATTATCGTATCGGTAAATAAAAAAAATTGTGCTCAGAAGAATTTTTAAGAAACGTATGTATCAGATTAAATGAGCAAGACCAACCAAGAGCGATGGAGTCGTGTACCCATCCGACATTTAGCGAACACCTGTGGTTAGTATCCTCAGGGAACCTAGCGACATCGTCCCGAGCGAAGGAACAGATGCAACCCTAGACCGAAGCCATCAAGTCCAAATATACTATTTAGATAACACCGGCCATGAAATCCTCAGCCTTTTGTACTAAAATATTAAATGACTTTTATTGGTAGAATTATGACAAATTGAAAGGCCGTCAAAGCCTACTGTAAGGTCTTATATTGATTTTTGACTTTTAGTTTGCAAATGTTGACTAACCAAAACTATTTGACTACAAGATAATGATTATAAAGCGAAGAAGATTAGCAAATATTAATTGAAATTTCATTTTCTGATATTCTTTTGATTAAAATTTACCACACATTTTACCTTCGTTAGAAACAGCTGTTCAAAACATAAAAAACATAAAGTTATTCATCGCCCAATGCCAGAAAAAAAAATTATTTAAACAAACTAAAAAGTTATGAAGCTAGCAACCTCAAATATCAGACAACAAAATCCTTTATAATTTAAAAAATAAAGTTAGTGCACCTTTATATTGATTTAAGTACTTCCCAGCGTACTTGTAGTTGTTAGCAGGACTGGCAAAGTGTTTCAAAACATGTGTTTTAAACACTGTTTATAATCTAAATAAAAAGACTTAAATGAAAGTGTTTTAAACTATGTTTATAACAAAAAAGTAAACATTAATTAAATTATTTGGGATAGAGTGAAAGTACTTATTGGTTATAGAAATGAAATAATGAAAACATCTCACAGGATTGGCATGAAACAAACACTGTTTTAAAACACGTATTTTAAACACTATTGAAAACACGACTAATAAATAACGTCAACGTGCCACGACAAACAAACTCGTTTAAAACGTATGTGTTAAAAATAAACGTAAAAAAAGTGTTCAAAATGTATGATCACCTGTTTAAAACGTTCTGAACAGTTTTTTCACACATTTAATAAAAACCTATTTCTAAAATTGGATCAAAATATTATCATTTTATTTAATTGAGATATTTTTAATTTTTAATGTACTATAAATGATATTAACTTTATTTCGTTTAAAACTTTTTGTACTGAATTTAGTTCAAAGCTTATGTCACTTAAGTATTTCGGAATTACCTATAGGTACATTACCTATAACTCAAATATTAAAAATGGTATTCGGACACCCTGTATATTTAAGTAAGAGTAAGTATGTGTACTATGCGGGGACTACGCCCATGACAAACAAGTATTCTGTCCAAGGCTGTGGCAACGCACACGTATAATTCGAACAAAGAACTACTTTGCACAAAAAAATGAAGTCGTACGGGTGTAGTCGCTACCTAAGAAAAAAAAATGAAAATTCCATAACATGGTCAGGCCACATGACAAGGAAATAAAGGAAAACACTCTTAAATGTCTTTGAAAAGTTAATATTTATTGCAAAGTGATCATAAATATAGTGGTGACTGAATAAGAACGATTGCACACATATTATGTATATCTATGTACCGATACACATACATAAATGTACTAATAATTGCTTTATTAATTATTATTATCACCGATGGAGGCACCCACTCTGGTATTTCCATCGAAATAGTACCTACACTTTACACTTTAAGAGATCAACTTCATAAATATTCAATCGTCACGTTTTACATCTGCCTCTCTATTTATGAATTGACTAATTCATTCATTGTTATGTTGTTGGTCATTCTTGACAGTCGCCATTGAAACTAAGAAACGAAGACGATTATTTTTTCATTATTTGTTGTATCAGAGGTTAATCACTTTGCAACAATTTTGAAGATGTGCCAGCAATCGAAGACGAAATGTCGTTGCCAATAAAATACAAAATTGATACTGTACCTACAACTTGTCCTTTTGGCATTCCTTGAAATTTTTATATCAACTTTCGAGAAAATATTTCTTTTAAAAAGTAAGGATAATTGACTATCCATACTATAGTCCACGTTCATTAAAAAAATGTGTGAAAAATCATCGCATGGTACATCTCATCCGATCTTTAGTAATGGCTGCCACAGTACTACAATCATCAGTCAGTCAAAAGAGTCGAAAGAACCCTAAAGATGTCATACGTGGTTGAAGACTTAACTTCGACAATAGACATTTTTGAAGCGATCGAAACTGGTAATGAGCAAAATTAGTCTTGCAATCTCAAGACCAAGACCGAACGAACAAGACCAAGACTAAAACCAAGACCGAATATGCAAGATTAAGACCAAATATAAGAAAAAAGAAACATTATCACTGTTTGAAAAAAAAGGATCTACAAAAATGGCACCACATGTGGTTGAAATATAGAAACAACTAATGTTTTTTCGATATTTTTTACTTCTTTCAAGTACCTTGTAGGTAGGTCAATTTATGCATTAAGGAAAGAGTAAGTTCTCGAGTTTCTATAACTTTTACAACTATCGACACTATTTTCTTTAAAAGTCATAACAGACAATAGCATTTAAGACAATTTATTATTATGTCGGTAAATTAGAAGAATTGTTAGGATGAAGACTAAGACTCAACACGCAAGACTAAGTCCAAGACCAATGTGAAGACTGGAACAGTCTTGATCTTGTTCTTCTTTTGCTCATTCCCAGTGGAAACCCAAAATCACATGTCTTACCATTATCAAGAAATTATTATGAGGCAGCACAAAACTTACGTAAAATATCTTGTGGTTGCTCAATTAATACGGTCATCATAAAGGACCCATTTACCTTTAAATATCCGTTTAAAAAGATGTTTTATATATAAGTATAGACATTTATAAAAAATGTAGAACGTAATTAATTATAATAGCCGAATGTGTGAAATAATCATTTTTGGAAGTTTTCATTCGAATGCGATACTTTTTTATAGGCACCAACAGTATAAACAAGTCAATTTCCTAATAATAACATGTCTTGCATCATTCGGTCGGTACGTTTTACTTTGATTGCTTTTTAATTCGATAATACAGATTTTTGTGAAAGATTAGTGATCCAGACAATAATATATCATTTTTAGTTAAAAGTTTCTAATTACTCTTTTGATATTATTGGAAAGTATATGTATATATGTATATAGTATATCCTCATACGTAGCCTCCGGTTATTAAACAGAAGTTCATTGTTGTCTTTACGAATTACTTGAACCTTCGAAGAATTGCTTTATACACACGTCCTTATGTTCATAATGTGTAGCAGTATAAAACGCTTAAGGATATAAAATGTTTGGTTTCACGGTCATTACTTGCGTTACCCTGAATTGACAGTTCCTTAACTACCGCCTTCTGGAGTTCAATACCGCCTAAGTATAGCCATTCTACAGCTTTCATGGTATTACATCTAGGTAATACACGGAATCATGTACCATTAAGTATGCAGATAATTGAAATACCATTTGCGACTGCAAAGAATTAAGACATTCGTATCTACGTATTACATTTTGAACTTATATCCGATCTTCCAAATTAATTAAAATAAATTAATCAATTTAGTGAATAAACGCACGAGAAATAAATGTAATCTCGTTGACTTCTGATTTAAAAACACGAAAGAAGTGAAGATACTTTACCTATACTTAATTAGTTCTTTGAAAAATTAATCAAAAATAAATGTTCCTTAATTTATAATTTAACAAATTCGTTTTAGAATAATTAAAAAAATTATTCAATTCGTAATTTATAACTAAAAATGAGACTACATAGTGTTTGCTGATGTGCATATATTTAAATTAATCATTTGTTATATTACGAAAATAAATATACAACCATAAGAAGTTACATAAACTCTTTGGTGCTTCGTACACGGCTCATATTATATAAATAAAGTTATAGTTGTATTTATACAATAAAATATGGCATATTTCACAAAAACACCAATTAATAATATTAATCATTACAACAAATTAAAATTGCTAAACTGAAAAAGCACCATTGTTGTTCTTTACTTTTTCCAACTTCTCACTGTCGATCTCTTTATGTTCTATAACATCCTCCCTAACTGGTTTTACATCAGATTCATCTTTAACCGGTTTTTCACCAGATTTATCGTGGTGAACATGAACATTATCCTGTTCAATCTTAGATACCTTTGAATCAGGGTGTTCGTCTTTTTCCCCATCTGCGCCTTTTCCATCCGTGGTTGTAGATTCTTTAGTATCCCTGTAGAGTCTAATTTTATTCGATTCGACAGCCAGCAGGTTCGCTTGATCTGCTGAAATAGCATCCACTACAGGTGGTTGAAGATATGTAGCAGGAGCCCACACAGCTCCATTAGCTTCATGGAGAGCTTCATTTAGATAGGCATGTTGTCCGATGTTAACTGCAGCATTTGCGATTGCTGAAGCTTCAGCAGATGCTGATGCTGATACTGATGCCGTTGCAACAGCATGTGCTCCATTAACAACATGGGCTTGATTAGCAGCAGCTTCGTGTAACAAATGCTGATTATTATTGGCAATTGCAGATGCATCAGCTATTCTCCCATGTGGTATTGAAGCATCTCTGTTCAAGAAATGTTGGCGTCTCGCTTCTTCAATAGCACTTGCTTCAACTCTTCTCCCAATTTCTAATGCAAGAGCCTCCCTTGTCAAAGCTTCATTATTCCGTCGTTCAATTTCTTCAGCTGCCGCTTGCCTAGATGCTTCCTCGTGAGCAAATTGTTGGTGCGCAATTGCAGCTGCTTCTCTAGCTGCAGCTTCATTAATCAAATTCTGATTTGCAGCCGCAGCCGCGTGACTTGCAGCAGCTTCATTTATTAAACGTTGGTTTGCAGCGGCAGCGGCGTGACTTTCAGCGGCTTCGTTTATTAAATGCTGATTAGCAGCGTGACTTGCAGCAGCCGCGTGACTTGCAGCAGCTTCATTTATTAAATGTTGGTTTGCAGCGGCAGCCGCGTGACTTGCAGCAGCTTCATTTATTAAACGTTGGTTTGCAGCGGCAGCCGCGTGACTTGCGGCAGCTTCATTTATTAAACGTTGGTTTGCAGCGGCAGCCGCGTGACTTGCGGCTGCTTCATTTATTAAACGTTGGTTTGCAGCGGCAGCCGCGTGACTTGCGGCAGCTTCATTTATTAAATGCTGATTAGCAGCGGCAGCCGCGTGACTCGCGGCAGCTTCATTTATTATATGTTGATTTGCAGCGGCAGCCGCGTGACTTGCCGCAGCTTCATTTATTATATGTTGATTTGCAGCGGCAGCCGCGTGACTTGCAGCAGCTTCATTTATTATATGTTGATTTGCAGCGGCAGCCGCGTGACTTGCAGCAGCTTCATTTATCAAGTGCTGATTTGCAATTGCAGCAGCCTGGTTTGCTGCAGCTTCATTAATCAAATGTTGATTTACTGCTTCTGAAACCGCAATTTCATTAATGGCGGCAGTGTTTGCAACACCTGAAACTTCTGTGGCGACATGAGCTATTTGTGCGACTGGTGTGGATATTACAGATGACTTGACGATATCGTTCTGTATTTCTGCGGTTCCCCCCGGTCCAGAAAATGTTGTAGAAGCTGGTCCGGCAATAACAGCCTTTTGACCGCTAGTAGATATAGTTCCAGATGGCCCTTCAATATTAACACTATCTTCTTCTTCTACCGGTACAGCTACAACTGTTGGAGCAACAGCTACATGTTCAGCAGCAGTCAAAGAGATAGGGGATACTTCCCCTATTCGATGGGATATTAATGGAATATTTTCATCGACAACAATTGGTTTTCCCTTCCATTCGTGGTTAACTATCGAAATGGGTTGTATATCAATAGGTCCCAAATCTGCTCCTATGATTCTGGATTCGACGGGTTCGATAGCAACTGGTTTTTCTTCCAATACCACTCCTGGAGTTTCTGGTCCAGTCACTACTTCAGCTCCTTCTGCCACTGCCGTTATTTTACTTCCATCGGGACCTTCTATTATTGTCTCAGCATTCGGCCCTTTATATATTGCTCCTACTCCCGGATTTATTGGGTACGTTGGATAACCATAAACGGCTAAACCCGAACAAAGGGCTAAGATCTGTTAAAATAAAATGAAAACATGTACTAAAAATTATATAATATACTTTTTAAATGCAACAACAGAATTTGAGTGAAACAATTTTACTTATCGATTAAATAATTGCTATTTGTAATTAAAGATTGTAACTGTGTCGGGTTTTAGGTGTTTCTTTAAACGTTTTTGTTGCTTTTCGTGACGTGATATTAAAATTGCTTTCAATAAAGTCCATTTTCATTTGTACACACCCACATTTTTGCAATAAATTGTTTCGTTCAAAATGGGCAGAATAACGTCTTAGTCATTGAAAAAGTGATATAAATGAATTAATTTATTGTTAATGCAAATTCTAGAAAGGTTTCTTACCAACAACTGCATGACTGAGAGACACCAGAGCTGCTGGTTCTTGTAAACATTAATATTAGATTATTGCACATTACCTCCTGTTATATATTGCAATGTAACCTTGCCTTATTTTTACTTTAAGTACTTCAAACGCACCTGTCTATCAGAAAATTGCGAAATAAAAGGAAACAAAAAAAAATTGTACCAAAATCACTTGACCAAAATTTTGCTTCGTCATGAAATCTTAACCGCAAAGATACGGAGGTTCGAGTTCAAAGTTTATTTTGCGTTACATCGAATTACGACAATTACCATTTTCTATCATGTGTTACTGTTTTTACCCGGATAAATGCATGGCCTTCAATTTAGGTTCAATAAACGTTTTAGCAATTGGTAGGAATAACCAAGTTTTTGTACTGCTGTTCCTGTGCTCGGAAATATATTCTTTTAGACTAATTCAGTACCCTTCAAAAGAAGTTACTGTATTTACTAAACTATCTTCAACTCATAGAAAGAGATATAGAGTTAAAACCTTTATTATTATGCATCAGTTATCCATTTTATCTTATTATTACGTAGAATATTTTCTTCTTTTACATTTTGATTAAAACATTCCCCAGGGTTGCATTATCGAAAAAGTATTTTTCTCATATTTAGCACTTTTGAAAGATCTGACGAAAGAAAACGTTTCTTTAAGATCTAAACATCCAAAAAGGTGTACTTCATTTTTGCCTTTACTGTATGAGAAATTCGTAAATTTATCGCTAATTCAAAATGTGTAAGTTCAAAAGTAGAATTGACTTTTACATTTCTTGTATGAAAGTTTCAGGTCAGGTACTTTTCTTTAATTACCCAATACATAAACTAAAAATATCGCTTGCATCATTGATTTATTATGGACATGTATATATACAGTGAACAAAAAAAAAACAAAGGTAATCATAATCGCAGTCAATTGTACATGCGCAGTCAGTAAACCCGTAAACAACATTACAAACTCAAACAGACCCTCTAGGGATACTAGCGGAGGCTATATTATCAAACAATCTCATGCCATTAAAAAAATAATTTAAATTTCCAAAGTCCTTCCTAGCGAGTTCCTTAGAGACCCCATTCGAGCATTTGCGTTCCCATTTAGTATTGGCGAAGTTTACCAATGACCATGATGACCCCAATGTCCAGCACCAACGATACCAGCGGGTCCGATAATTCCAGCGGGTCCGACAACTCCAGCGGGACCAGCGATAACAGCTCCTGCGGCGTGTCCTACTACGCCGTGTCCAAGGAGTCCATGTCCAATAATTCCATGAGCGGGTCCAGATACAACGGCTCCGGCACTTGGTGGTACCAAAACAGCTCCAGCTCCATGGACGGGTCCAGCGACAACGGCATGAGCAGCGGGAAGAGCACCAGCAACGATGGCACCGTGGTGTCCAAGAGCGCCGGAAGCTAAGATTCCTTCCCCATGATATTGGCTTTCAAGTAAACCCTCTCCGTGCCATTGGCCATCGTCATGAAGACCCCAACCAGATGGAGCAGCATTGGCAACAACAGCCAAGCAAGCCAAAGCAACAACGGTCTAAAATTAAAAAAAAAAAATGTAAATAACAAGAAGTTAAGTAATAGTGAAATAAACTCAAAAACGAAAGTTTAAAAGTACCAAACGTTGTTTTCAACGAGTTTATTTTCAAGTGCTTATGATTCGTTGAGGTAGGATTTTTCGCGGAAAGAAAAATAGAAACAGTCTTTCTGCCGTTTTCCATGAAAAGTAATTTAAAAACGATTTACTGCAGAAAGTTAGTAAGAACCCTTTATTATTTCTGTCCATTTTAGTAGATAAATAATTCTGTAAGTTTAATTTATTTTCTATTTCACGGAAAACACGAACCAATAACGAAGTAGAAGAATGAAGAAAATTCGTAACTTACCAGACTGTTCATTTTGATGCGAATTACTTCAAACAGTGGACTATTTGATGAAGGTGAAGGGGTTAGATCAGTTTATATACTTATTTGTGGCCTTCGTTAATACCGTTTTATTTGTTAAGGTACCGGCGTGGTAGATACGAACGAGCATTACATTAGTAAAAGCTCTAGGAATTTTTTTATTTGTCACTAGCAATTTTACACCCATTGTAATAATTATTACTATAGACCGGCAAATAGCTTGAAGCATTTTAATGCAAATATAACACAGTTATTGATGCCAATATCAAATATGCAAATTTTTTAATAAATCTGTTACACATGTAAATATTTTATCGCAGTAACCAATCACTTCAATTATTATTATCACATTATCGTTCGTAAAACGAAAATTGTTATCTTCCGAAGATATTTATATATTCTTTATAAGCTGTCTCTTAAAGAAATAGAATAATTAGTACAAATGAAAAATTATACCTAATAAATTTCAAATAATTTACAAAATTAAGTCATAATTTTTTTTTTCAACCAACTTTCTATAACATAAAAGTAAAATATTCTTTAAAATATCAGAGTTATTAAATAGATTAAAAGCATCGTACCTGTGAGTTTATTTTAATATTATAAATTAATGTTAGTAATTATTTATAATGAAAACAAAATCGTGTTGGACGAATAATACTCCCTCAGTGAATCTTTGTTTTTTATTTTAATTTTAATTCACGTAATTTATCAGTTTAGTTTATTATATGTCAAATATTGAGAGACATCGTTAAGATAAATAATATAATTAGATCACGTATTACAGAAATTTAAATATTTCTCTTATCCTGAGTTCTAATGAGTCTTTCGAAATGATATTTAACGGAGGATTTTTTGTAAAAAAGATCCAGTCAAAACAACAACCTGACATACAATGAAGGTGCTGGTAAGTATCTTAGGTTTAATTTTAATTAAAATATATTTAGCCTTATTGAAAAGAAACTACATTAGATTAAAAAATATTTAACACCAAAGACTGCAATTTTTTATTTTAATGGACTTCTATCTAAAAATTAGAAAAATTTCTTTAGTTTCTATACGCGCACAGATGATTATAATGCATTTCAATTTTATCAATTTGAATGAATTGGAAATTAATTTAATATATTTTTTTGTAGATTATACTATCGCTTTTTTATGTTCAAAATCAAGCCGTGCCTGTGACCTACCAAACGGAATGGAAAAACAGTGAGGGTGGCCACGGCGCTTATGTTATCAAAGATACTGAAAGCAATCCCCTTATTTTGAAGTTAGTAGATCCACAAGTAGCAGAACAACTTCCTGAAGAGTTACTAACTTCTACGGAAAAGGACGAGGAAACTCCAAAAGAAGAATTGTCTCCAATAAAAAAAGATGACGAATCTATTACTGTTCAACCTCTATCGGAGTCCCTTGACGATGAAGGTCCAGTGTCCATAACCGGTCCTGTATCTCAATTTATTTCACAAGCGGCACCTTCCTCATCAAACAGCCATCTCTTAGCTTCCAATTTGGTAACTTCGAATGTTCCTGGTTCGGGTGTAGGTGGAAGTCTATCGGGACAAAATATTCCTGTGTCAGGACTAAATATTCCTACATCAGGACTAAACGTTCCTGCAACAGGAATAACAATTCCAATAGATTCACTGGTAGGATCAAATATTCCACTTCTTTCTCAAAACGTCCCCCTTACAGGCTCGCTACTCCCTCTTGGTCACATTACTGGAGGACTTCTAAACGGTCCATTGCTTCACCATATTCAAGCGCTTCTGCAACAAATATTGGGTGGTCATCGGCCTATCATACGACCTGCTCATATAAGTCCTGGAAATGTATTGATTCCAGGCTACAGTATTACTGTAGGAGCTGGAGGAATTACATTACCAGGCTTAACAAGACATTAAATAAAATGGGATTGCAAATACGAAATTTTAATGTTGAAACATGTAATTGCATATTATATACTTTGTAAATAACCTACCTCTATTACCTAATAAAAGTTATATTTCTCGGAGTATTTCGTATGAATTTTATTCTGTACAGAACGAATAAATAAACATGAAAACGTTTCAAAAATAACATCTCAAATTCTGTGTATGCAGGTCATATAGTTTTGATGATAATTTAAAATAAATATTAATTTA